GTTTTAAACTAAAGGCCATTGTCGGCCCGAACGGGATTTTTGCCGGGGAAAAGGGATTGCCTTCCAACCCCCCGTGCATTCCACAACCCTTCCAACCCCTTTGGTTTCCCCCCACCTCCCCATTTCGTTTTACAAGCCTTCCCCCCTGTGGGCTTCACCAGCCCCCCCCCCCGCCTCCTAAACCGCCTCCACCGTGGCCGCCGCCTCCCAGCCCGGCCCTCCGTCGCCCCCACCACCGCCGTCGCCACCACCGCCAAGCCCGCCGCCGCCAAGCCCGCCTCACCCGTCGCCGCCCCCACCGAGGCCGCCTCCCCCGTCGCCGCCCGCTCCCTCACCCCCTCCACCGTCTCCACCACCGCCATCGCCCCCGCCGCGCCAAGGCCGCCGCCAAGCCCGCCGCCGCGAAGCCCGCCGCCGCCAAGCCCGCCGCCGCCAAGCCCGCCGCCGCCAAGCCCGCCAGCCCCGTCGCCGCCACCGCCAAGCCCTCCTCCGCCGTCCAACCCGGCGCCCTCAGCCCCCCCTCACTGCACCATCAGCCCGCCCACGCCCCGTCCCCCGCGCAGGTTCTACTTCTTCGTCGGCATCGCGCGCCTTTTTACGCGCAGAAAACACCCATGGCGGCTAAATCAACCCACCTCGACCACCTCATCGATCGCCTCGGCGTAGAAGTCGTCGCAGACGATGTGGTGCTCAAGAGGTGCCCGAGGACGTCGCCGGCGCACCCTTCATGGCGGTCGGGTCGTCGGCGCCCGAGTTCTTCACGGTGATTCGCCCCGCTCGTGACCGAGTCGGACGAGGGCGTCGGCGACATCGTCGCCGCGCCGCCGTCTTCAACTCGAAGACCATCGTCGGCCTGACCGGCGGCCTCGTCTCGACGCTCACGCCGCGACGTGCTGCCCGTAGGCGCGGCTCTCCTCTCTCCGGCTCGCCCTCTCTTCCCATTCAGCATGCACGTGCTCTTGAGCAGCACCATTTTTTGTGCAGAGCGTCGCTGATTTCTTTTTATCTGTGTAGGCGAGGCTCGAGGGGGGCGGATACCAAGCCCTCCACCGCCCAGCCCTCCGCCGCCGTCCCCGCCACCTCCGTCGCCGCCGCCACCCGCCGCCCCCCTCGCCTCCTCCCCCATCCCCACCACCGCCTTCCCCTCCCACTCCGTCTGTCTCCACCACCGCCGTCCCCGCCGCTGCCCTCGCCGCCGCCGCCCTCGCCTCCGCCTCCCTCACCACCCCCGCCCTCGCCGCCTCCGCCGTCCCCACCTCCACCCTCGCCGCCGCCACCATCGCCTCCGCCGCCCTCACCGCCCCCGCCCAGCCCGCCGCCACCATCACCACCGCCGCCGTCTCCACCGCCTCCCACACCGCCACCGCCGAGCCCGCCCCCGCCCTCGCCGCCGCCCCCCTCGCCTCCGCCGCCTTCTCCTCCGCCGCCGGCGCCTCCGCCGCCATCGCCGCCTCCCCCCTCACCGCCTCCACCAGGCCCGCCGCCCCCCTCGCCGCCGTCTCCGTCGCCGCCGCCGCCCAGCCCGCCTCCGCCCTCGCCTCCGCCCCCCTCGCCGCCGCCGCCCTCGCCTCCGCCGCCGTCGCCTCCGCCGCCGTCGCCTCCGCCGCCATCGCCACGACCGCCCTCCCCTCCGCCCCCCTCGCCGCCGCCGCCCTCGCCGCCCCCACCCGGCCCGCCGCCCCCCTCGCCGCCGCCTCCGTCGCCGCCGCCGCCAAGCCCGCCTCCGCCCTCGCCGCCTCCGCCCTCGTCTCCGCCCCCGTCGCCACCACCTCCGTCGCCACCGCCTCCCTCGCCGCCACCGCCGTCGCCCCCTCCGCCCTCGCCTCCGCCACCTTCGCCACCGCCGCCCTCTCCTCCTCCGCC